CGCTGCTCCGCCAGGGGGCGCGGCGGCGCCAGGAGCCGGGCAGGGAGGGACCCTGGCCTTGGCTTTGGGACTCTGGGGGGTTTCACTTCGTCCCCGCTCTCTGGGACCTCGGCCACAAGCCACGTCAACATTTTCACAGACACTTACGTAATGGAAAACTGATTTGCTAAAATAATCATCAGAAGTTCTCTCCCCAAGACCGTGTAAGTTCTGCCAGACCTGTGACCTCCAGGACAGCGGACCCAGGTGTCCTGCCGCGCCTCGGGCTGTGCTGCTCGAGTGTGGACGGAGGCCACCCACAGAGAAGCGAGAAGACCCTCCAGTCCCTGCGCACAGCACGACGGATGGGGCTACCTGCTCGGAGGACGTCCGGCGCCTGGCCTCCTGTCCCTCTTCACCGCGCGCGGAACAGGAGTCGCTGAGCTGCGGCTCGCTGGTCTTGTGGTGTGATCTTTCAAGATCCAGGACCCCCTAAATGTACACACACAGGAGAACATTGTGCGTCAAAACTTGGGCCAGGATAATTCTTACGAGTCAGACTTCGTGCCATGAGGCTCCCTACTTTTAAGAGCGCCCCCATGCCCCATGCCCCATGCTGGGAGTGAAGTCAGAGCTCGGTTTGCCTGAGCTGTGCACCCGCCCAAAGCAAAGCGTGGACCAGCCCGGGAAAGTGCAGTCAGAGGGCCAGGAGGGACTCCTGCCCCCAGGGCAGGCCCAGGGTCCGCCAGGCGGGAGGGCCAGGCAGGAGGGACTTCTGCCCCCAGGCACCGTTTGCCCCACAGCAAGACCTTCCTGCAGCAAAGCACAAACTACCACAAGCTACAAGCCGGGTTCCTACCCCGCTCCCCTAGAGCACCGGTAGCCACAGAACAGGAACAATTGCCTTACAAAAGAGAAAGACTTCCTGAGACGAGAGAAATGAAGAACCGGGCAAGATCATCCAAAGTGTATCCCCATGTCCTGGGAAGGAAATTGTCTTTCCAAGCAGAGAGACCCTGCCCGCAGCAAAGGAGGCTCCATGCAGCAGAAGCCTGCCAGGTCTCCACCGCCCACCCAGGATTCTTTCCCTCCCTGAGCCAAGTCCCCCGGGCTCCCTCCCAGCACTCTTGTTCTGCTACTTGGCTTTCTTCCCTGACCAGAGCCTGGCAACGCAACTGAGTGGTCCTGGGCGAGAAGGTTTGTCAAAGGCTCCGCGGAGGAGCCAGAGGGCTGAGCTGGGACTTGTGAAGAAGAGAGCAAACATCACAGGGCCACAGAAAGGCAGTGTTCCTCGTGGTTTTGCCCTTCTCTCTTTCTCTACTGTACCTATACAAAACTCTCCCTGATGTGACCAAAATACTCCTTTTCAAAAATTGAGATACATAGTTCACATACACAAAATGCACCCTTTGAAACATGAGTCAGACGTGCTTAGTGATTTTTGCAGAACTGGGCGACCATCACCACAATCGGTTTCTGAATTTGCATCACCCTCAAGGAAGCCAGTGCTCATCAGCAGTCAGCCCTGAGTCCCCTCTTCTGGGGCCTGGTCACCTCCAATCTGCCCGCTGGCCCTGAATATGTTATGGCTGGACACATCCCCAAAGTTTACCCATTAAGCCCAACCCCAGTACTTCCAATGATGGGCCAAAGTGAGGAAATGAAAACGAGGCTGTCCCAATCTAACCTGACTGGTGTCCTTATAAGAAGAGGAAATTTAGTCACATGGGACACAGAGATGTGTGCTCGGAGGGAAGACCAGTGAGGTCACCGTGTAGAGGTGTCATCTGAAACCCAAGAGAAGTCAGCCCTGAGGACACCTTGACCTTGGACTTCCAGCCCCGGGACTGTGGGAAATAAACTGCAGGGGGACCCTGGCTGGGGTGTCTCCGTGGCAGAGCGCTTGCCCAGCAGGTGTGAGGTCCTGGGTCGGTCCCCAGCACCACCGTGGAGGACTGTAACTCAGACCTGTTTGTAGAACATGGGTTACACCCTGAAAGTGACCTTCCTGGGTGGGGGAGGATTGTCGCTGGTGCTCCATCCTGGGAGCCCGGTCTGCTTTGCTGAGTGCCTGGCCTCAGTGGCAGGGTCATTCAGGAAGAGGTGAAATGCCCAGCGGTGGTCTGGGGAGACAGTGAGCTCCTGAGCCACCTGTCAGGAGAGGCACCTTCTGCTGCACCTGGAGTGTGCGGGGCTCTGTGCAGTAGATCTCCTGCCACCATGCCCGTCCAAATGGCCCTGGACCTTCACTCCGTCTCTGGGCTGAACGAGGGTGACAGCCAGGCCTCTGACAAGCGCGGTTGATGACACTGCTGAGTCTAAAGGAAGGCTTCTTCCTCCAGCGTCCCTTGGTCAGGACAAGACCCACCTCAGGAGCACAGCAAGATGCAGAGTCCTGTTCTGGGCTTGTTCGCCCGAGGCGGCCCTGGATCATGGGGGGTGAGTTGCAGACTTCGGCAATGTAAATGCTCTCACCCTGGGGCTTCCAAGCTTCCAACCTGAAGTCAACAGGCCCAGGAATTCCTCCTGCTCCAGCAGGGACAGAGGGCGTCCTGGCCAGGCCCACCTGACCAGCTGCTCTGTGAACCAGCTGGACACACTGCTGCCCTGCTGGGGAGCCTCCTGGGGGGGTGGTTGTCTAGACCACAGGGCTCTACTGTGTTCCCTGGGCTTCACCTCCTGCAGGATGCAGGCCCATGCCCTGGTCCAAGGGTGATACAGGACCCCGCCAGCGTCACAGTGTGTGGGACCTGCGCCAGGATGAGAGCACACATAGTGAAAGGAAGGTGCCAGCAAATTAAACCACCAGCTCCATCCCTCTGCAGCCTGCAGCCACACCCCTCCACCTTTAGGCTGCCACCAGCCCACCACTGCCACCCCAGGCTCCTGTCCCAGACTACCAGCCAGCCATGCCAAGCTAGACCCAGCCAGAGTGTCCACTCTGCCCGGTCATGGCTGCAGTCCCCTCCCACTTCGACCCTCCACCCTCAGGTCTCTGGCCCATCTAGCAGCCCAGCCAGGCTGCTGCAGCTCCTGACGGTACAGAAGGGCAGTGCAAACCTAGCGGAAGCTGCAGCCGCCAAGCAGAAGGGCTCCCTGCCCCAGCTCAGTTCCATTTCACTGCTGAGCAACTGAGGAAATGGCTTTGGTTCTGTTCCTGACTTTAGGCTTTTCATGTCCACTGCATCGGCCAGAAGGAAAGGCTCTGGCATGAAGAGATTCCTACCAAAAGTATCAAGGCATTAGGCAATTCCTCTATGAAATGAGTACTGAATACTTTGTTTTCTCAGACCTTACTTTTTGGAAGAAAACGTGTTTATCTATCTGAATGTGTGTATTTGTGAATTTTAAGGCATAGGAACTAAGTTCCTGAATGAGCGTCATCACCTTTTAAGATTCTAATGATTCGGACACCCGTGGGTCTCCGAAGCTGCACTGTCTTGGGGCTTTGCTTCTGCTCCTCAGTGTGGTACTGCACAGAACCGATGGACAGCTACCGTCTGGCAAATTCCAAGGAGGTTTCCAGGATCACATGAGGCGGAGCCCCAGCCAGCTCCACCCCCAGGGAGGGCATGACTGGGCAACTGAACTTCAGTTCTGAAAGGTCTCACATCCCAACACTTGTGCAAAACTCATTTGTTTTGCTTTTCATCTTTCTTCTGCGGTAACCAAGGCCTCCCACATGCCAGATGAGCACTCTGTCACCGAGATACGTCTGCAGCCTCATTGGAGTCAGGATCTCGCTAAGTTGCCAAGGCTGACCCCAAACTTGCCATCCTCTGGTCTCAGCCTCCCAAGTAGCTGGGATCACAGGTGTGTGCCACTGTTCCCAGATGATTTCTTGTGAGTTGTACGCAGAACCACTGGGCCAGGGACAGCAGGAGGACCTGCAGGTCCTCCCAGCCTCTGCCTGGCATGGCCACCCTGGAACCCTAGAGAAAATGGCAGCGGGTTCTGTGAGAAAGATGGGTGGGGCGAGGACTCAAGGGACACGTGTTCTTTCGTTCCCAACCAACTGGCCGCGTGGGCACCTTAGTCTCTCCTCAGGTCTGCTGCAAGCTGGCCTTCAGCCGCAGCTCTTTGGGGTCTAGATTAAAAGCTAAAGACTCGAAGTTGGAACTTCTGGGCTTCATTTTAGGCAGGGGCTTGTTTTAATTTCCTGGCGGTGCTGTGGACAGTGAGGCAGCAAGAAAGCGTCCCTGGTAGATGGACTTCTTCAGGGCTGGCCCTGCTGTTCCGGCCTCCCCACGCCTGCAGCTGCTGCTCACACCCTGGGCAGGGCAGGGCTTCCTCTCCCTCCTTATGCAGTGGTTTTCATCCGAATTCAAGGCTCCCTAGCTGAGCCTCCCAGCTGGGTAGGTCTTGGTCTTAGAGAAGATCTTTGTGCACAGTGCTACTTCTCTGTGCATCTCGGTCCAAGAGAGAGAAAGGGGCCAGGGGAATCAGAAGGAAGAAGAGGCTGAGAAGACACAGAGCCAGATTCTGACATCCGAGGCGGATCCTGTGGTCCTTTGTGAACTCGTGACTGTGTAGGTTTCTGTGTGGAGTTTTATATTTCAGTGGGTGATTGTATGGCTTATATTAATAACATCATCGATTACATGGATTGTATTGATGTGATCCACAACCATGGTTCCCCTGATTCATCATGCTGCTGATCACCTCCAGCCCCAAGGTTTGAGGCCCTAAATTCTTAAAAAAAAAAAGAAGTTTTCATTGTATAAACTCAATTTTGAAAACAAAAATAAAGATAAATTGGAATGTGACTCTAGAGAAAATTGTTTAACAAATTATGTAAAGTCTCCAAACTGGAGGAATTCCCCCCAGAATATTTTCTGAACCTGGAGATGAACCGCTCTAGGAGATTTTGAAATCCTGAGCACATTAACTTGAAAATATGTATTTTTTTCATTTCTTTCTTATTACTTTTTTAAATAAGATGAATGAAAAGCCCCTGCACATTTCAGCACCCCATCTGGAGCCTCCGGCAGCGCCTGGGCACGTCCCTCTCAGCCCCTGTTTTTCACGAGGCCGGGGCTGCGGTTGTTCTTACTGTGCAGTTAGTCACTCGGAATGAATGGCAGCATTTTCATTTTGCCTCTTTAAGTTCTAGTTTCCCTAACTTTCCCAAACTCTCTGATTGGTATTTTCAGATATTCGGATTTCAAGCTTATCCTTCAATTTGCTGTTTCGGGGCATCTTGATGACAACGTTAAATATCATAATGAAACAATGAAATAACCTGGCCCCAAACACAATTAACTTGAGCAGAAGGGGCTGCACCTGCGTTCCTTCCCCACCCTCCGAATTCCTTCTTTCTTACAAGAGTATCATGCTGTCCACTGAGACCCATGGAAACAAACTGGAGGTTGTTTCTTTTTTTCCCCAAGAATTATTTTATTTCTAGGTATGAGTACCCTTTGCAAAATGTTTCTCTTTTGATGACTGGTGAAGGAATACAAAATACAGATTGCAAATCTGCATGGGCTGAG